GCAACCAGAGGCCAATGGACTTGCAGGGAAGTGCATGTTCGTTCCCAGTGTGGCCATTAACCCCCCCAAAAAGGTGTGTGTGTGTGTGTGTGTGGGGGGGGGGGGTCCCCATTCTCTCAGGGTTGAGTGTGCAACATTGATGACTTCAGTAAATTGCCTATTCAGCATAACACCGGAGCGCGCTAAAGGTTGAACAATAAAGTGGCCAACATATTTGAACCGTCTATGCCACAGGTGTCAAAGTCAAGGCCCGGGGGCCAGATCTGCGCCCGCTACATCATTTTATGTGGCCCGCGAAAGCAATTCAAGCATGTCAACTTCCATGATGCTTGCTAAAGTCTGAACCAAAACGTCAAATTGCCGCATATAATGTGATCAATACAATGTTTGAACAATCCATTATTCTTGACTTCTGATGTCAAAACTCGTTATCCATCTAGTTGTTGTTCATTGTGTAGGTAATATGTGGAGGTGGTTAAACATTTATATGGTCTCACAAAATTCACAGTCATAACGGCCCTCCAAGAGAAACCGTAACTACAAAGTGGCCCGCGACAAAAATGAGTTTGACACCCCTGGTCTATTCGCTAACAAAACTATACTTTAAACGGCAATCATAAATATAACATTGCCATCAAAAATAATCATCCTGATTATGTACCGGATTGGCATTCCTGTCTCTGGTACTTTTTTTTTTTTCTTCAACAATACAATTATATTCTGCTCTATTTACCAGGTAGGTGTACCTTCTGGGAAACGTAACCTCATCTTTGTCTGCCTTGACTCCTTTCTGCCAGCCCTCCATTTTATATTTCGGAGATAAGGATGCGAGGATGCCAATGTTGGTAAATGTCAGATCCGATTTTCAAATATGACGACGCATCTGCGCGCATGCCGTCAATGTTGCAGACGAGTCGTCTCGCGCAAAAAAAATAATAATAATTTAAAAAAAAAACAAGCCGCAGAGTCTCATTAATGCAAGAAAACAAATTACGCGGAATTTACTAGGGCGAGGAACAGGAACAGAGAAAATGCCAAACGGAGAGGAGGTAGAAGAAAAGTTGTTTTCTTGATGTATTTTTTATGCTTCTCTCTCTCTCTCTCCGCTTCCCTGTTGTAATGCAGACCCTCAGCATCCAAGTAGGCTGCACTGGGAATACATATTTTTAGGCTTACGTTGTATCACTGAGAGTATATTTCACAGGTCATGTGGAAGTTTTGAGTTGCAGAATCCGAATACCGTTCTTCTTCCTGCACGAGAGTAAATATAAATAAAGACGTCTTGTATTCTTGTATCATATATATTCAAAACTCTTTCATCTCGATAGAATTTGGCACTTTGCCTCGTAAAAGTCATTTTATCTGCAAGTGGTTCCGGTGGCGCGTGTAATACTGCTGTTGGTTTCCAAATCCATTAGGAGACCCAAAACGAAGGCGAGTGTGCCGCATCCCGACTTTGATCCAAAGATTGGTACAATCGCCTGGCTGGCAGAGTTTGAAAGAATTTCGGCCAGTGGTGAATGCAAATTGCGTGTGGTACCAGGCAAAGCGACGGGAAAATGAACATTGACGACATGAACAAGTGTTGTGCGGAAAAACCTTGGAGAATAGTCCGACGGTACCACTGGCAGAGGATGAGTGGATCGCCTGTCCTCGCGAGGCACATGTTTACAAAAACAAAGTGTGTACTGTTGCCTGGCAAGGTCTCAGCTGGCAACTGAAATTGCCACCATGCTGACATTGGAACCTTGAGAAGACATTGATAATTGGTGATCCAGTGGTTAGCGCATTGACCTCACAATGCAAAGGTTGTGGGTTCAATCCCGGCTCTGGCCTTCCTGTGTGGAGTTTTTTTCTCCCCGGGCCTGCGTGGGTTTTCTCCGGGTACTCCGGTTTCCTCCCACATTCCAAAGACATGCATGGCAGGCTGATTGAACACTCTAAATTGTCCCTTGGAGTGAGTGTGAGCGTGGATGGTTGTTCGTCTCTATGTGCCCTGCGATTGGCTGGCAACCGGTTCAGGGTGTCCTGTGCCTACCACCCAAAGACGGCTGGGATAGGCTCCAGCACCCACCCCCCCGACCCTTGTGAGGGTAAAGCAGATCGGAAAATGATTGATGGATGGATGGATGGGCGTTTAAGTCGCGATGGCTCGAACTTTTGCGTGAACGCGTCCGTGCGGGGGTTGGCATGTTCTCCCCGAACTCGCGTGGCTTTCCATCCACATCCCAAACAAACGCTTGGGGTAACTCAGACTCAGATTTTACCATACGTGTGAGTGCGAGTGACAGCGGTTGTTTGTCTATACTGTGTGCGTCCCGCGATCGGCTAGCGACCAGTCCAAGGTGAACTAAAGCCATATGGGATGGCGTCCAGTTCATTACAAACCGAATGAGGACAAGCAGTAGTTCAAATGGAAGGGGAGAGCCGCAAGGCAAATAAAGCACCGTGGTTATAAAAAGTCTACACACCCCTGATCGAATGCCATTTTTTTTCGAGGGGGTGATATTTTGGGGAAAAATGTAAAAATATATTCATCTCATTTTTGTTTTTGGGGTGTGTCGTCTTTTTCCGTACACATTAGCGCATCTTATTGAATTAGGCTTGTCGTCTTTGTGAACAGATGACGGTTGTGTGTAACCCCTCCCCTGCCTTTTGTGTTTGTAGCCGACTTCACGATAAAGGTCATTCATCACCATCTGTTGGCTTACTCAAGCGAGAACGCGTGATGCCGATTGCGGAAACTCCCCCTCACCATAGCGTTAGGGGAGATAAAAACAAAACGTACAAATACCTGCGCTCTGCATTGCTTTTCAAAGTCGCCGTTGTTAACACGGTGGAGTTTCATTCACATTTTTTTTTTTTTTTTTTTTTTGCTGTCAAGCTCTATTATCTCACCGTGCCGTACGCGTCATGTTAATATAGCTGTCGCGGCACGGAAATTGAACACACGCCATCAAACGGCCGTCTTGGCGGCAGCCGTTTCAATTAATAACGGCTATTTTGAGAAGCATCGGTACGGATTTGTTCCAAAGTCACGCATCCAGGAGGAGCTTCTCACAAGTCTTTTTAACATTTGCCGTCTGAAGGTTCTCGGGGGCGAACGACTCGCCTGAGCGGGGCAAGGTCGACTTTCCTTCCTTCAACCTGACGCGCCGTCATCTAAAAGCTCAGCGCTCGCTCCTTGAAATTACAAACGGGAGATGATGGAAGATAGCATTTGACATTTGCTCTACATTAAGTTAAGGCATCGAACCGTTAAGGGAGCAGCTTATATCCAGCCACTCCACGGAGGACGATTATCACAAGCCATGCAAACGAAGGCTGCGGGCTTTGTTACGGTGCCCTTATTATTCTTTTACAACGCCCACTCTGGTGATACACGGATTCAACGAAGCTGAGCAGACCCCATATTTTTTATTTTTTTGGTACTTTGGGGGTTTGGCAGAGAATTTTTTTGTTGGGGCAAAACTGTAATTAACAAACTGTTTCTGCATAGGAAGTCCATATGCGGTCATTAAATCTGATGAGACCTTTTTGACTGCTAATATTGGTCACGCTCGTGAGTGAGTGTCCGGCATATTATGACATCACAAGAGATGAAATACCTCAGAAGCCGTTGAAAGACGTTTTGCATTCGCAATCCAGTTTGCCGTCGAGAGATTTTGCTGATTTACTTTCGAAATGTTGCTGTGGTCATAATTTAGCGCAGTGTTTTTCAAGCGCTTGAGATGTTATGCGTTTGCCAATGCTGCGCAAGGCATAGAATGGAGCGCTCGCTCTGATAAGCACCTCAAGCCCCGGCCGGCCCAAGATGCACGATACAGAGAACGTAAGCGTCGGAAGCCACCTCCCCCCACGAGTGGGACAGAAGGCAACAGTACAACGTGATGGTTGCTCATGCGGTGGGGGGAAAAGCACTTCAGGCGATTGTGTGTTGTGGCTACACGTGTCATTGAAATGCTTTGTTTACGTTTTGACTCAAAATAATCAATGTAGGGATGTTGGGCAGGCTTGTTTTCAATTAGGAGACACAGGGAAAGGATATATTTAAAAAAAAAATACAAAAACAGTATTTGTATTAAATAAGAAAAAAAATCAACGTTGAATGACGGCAGCGCCAACAACAAATTATTTTCTTCCCGCTCGCTGTGCTGTTGTTTTCGGCTTCACTATGTCAATTGTCATTTACAACCACCCCAGCCCCCACCCCCTTCTTTTTCCCCTCCGTCTCTTACTTGCTGTCTCAGTGAAATGCAATCCAAGCCCCGCTGCTGGCACCCCCCAACTGTGGCACTGCAATCTCGGTTCTGCTCTGGTTGCTAGGCAGCCGGCCTGAGACGGGACTCGGCCATGTAGCTCCCTCTACGTCTGCCACTGCCCCCCCCCACCCAAAAAAAAAAAAAAGAAGAGAGACCGAGTAGGCTCAGCATCAGACAATATTCGGATGACGCCCGCCAATTATTATTCTTTTTTTGCAACGGCCACTCGTTTGCAGATTGTGCAAGGAGAAGGCGCACGCGTGTATCCAAACACAAACGGCAACCCAAAGGGCAAGTATGGCCGCTCTCCACTGTGACACCGCCCACCTTTGGACAACGCATGTGATGGAAATTTTCTGTCATCGCACCTCCAACAAAACCTGCCGCGCGCGCGGCGAACGCGGCGGGCCGCTGGGCCGCCTGCCCACGTGTGGGCTTACCAGCGGGGAGTGGCGGAGGGGTAAGGTTACGGCGAACACGCGTGATCTCCACCCAAGTGCCGCATGAGTCATGGCGCCGCCTGACTCATGCAACCGTGAGCCTTGCCGGCTCGAAATGACTTTGTTTGGTACTTGGAGACATCGCATTGTTTCTAGAAATCTCTGCGAGTGCTGACGCGTTCAAAAGATCAGTGTTCTGTTTTCGTCTTTTGTTACGATATGTTAACGCCAATTAAATCGGTCCTGTCAGGTTGTCAATTTTTTTAACGCAGTGTCACTTCTGTCCTCGTTTCCGCAGAAGTACAGGTACCAGGATGAGGAGACGCCCCCCTTGGAGCACAGCCCGGCACATCTGGCTCCGGGGAAAAGTGCCGAAATGCTGCACATGAGCGACAAGAACCTCGCCGCCATGGAGGCCATCCACGGCTACACGCCGCACACGCATATCTCTCCTGTCAAGGTGAGGACAACTCGCCCCAGCTGATGGCTGTTGTTGATCAATATCCAACGCCATGAGGGGCCCCTCAATGCAACTTGCCAGTCAGCACTTGCAGGGGGGCGCGGTGACGGCAGCGCGGACAGAACGGCGAACGTTAAGCGGCGCAACTCAGTCGTCGGCATCGATTCCAATTCAAATGTTGTCCGTTCACTGAATGACGTTCATTCAGTAAGTTGATGTTCTGCTGGTTATCGCCGGCGTCGCAGCCTTTCAATTTCCTGAAGAGACTTTCGTTTTGTGAGGTCGGCAAATCTAGCGATGACATCACCGCGGACGATTCGAACGCATAGTGCTGTAAGTCAAAACTGCTGCACTTTAAATTCATTTGAATGTATCATATTGTGAAATCCCAACCCGGTGCATCGATAAATTTTGTACCGGGCCGAAGGAGCACTTGAGGCGACTTGATATGGCAGCTTAACAGCGTGATAATCGAAGTGCAACATGAGAAGCGGTCAGGAAATATTCGTCAAAGATTCATTTCGCCGAATCGGTTTGCAAGGTGGAAGGCCGGGAAGGCTGTCACAACAAAGGCTTTCATCGCTGCTCGTTTGGAGCCTGTGAAAAGGTTGCCGAGTGATTACTAAGAACCCTTTTGTGAGGAAACCGAAAATAAAAGGACTCGCGCAGAAGTTTACCTGATCAAATTTCAAAACGCAGCCGGGATAAGCTTGATTTGGCCTGCGTGACGGTCAAATCACGTTTTTTTTTTTAAACCGCACTAAATAATTCAAGAATTTGACATCGCACAGACGACAGGCACAATTTGGATACGAGTCCCTTCGGCTCCCTCTACAGACACCAAACTGCTGCGCGGTATTAAGTCGACACACCGACACGTCTTGGAACGCAAACGCGGCGAGACGCCAAAGCAAAGTCGCATCAAAGAAACACGACGGCTGTCACTTTGGAACAGCATGGCGGGGATGCAGCACGTGCAAACGGTAGCGAGCGTACGCTGCGACGCCCGCTTAATAACGATCCGCTTCACAAGCCCGTTCGTGTTGGAACACCTTGAGCGGCTTTGAAGCGTTACTGCTGTGTACAGGAAGTGAGTGACATCGGCCTGCCCTATCACAAAGGAGCACAAGTGTCCATTATTGTTTGTTTTTGTTTTTTAACGAGGAGAAAGAAGAGACTGAGAAACTGAGCTCTGCCCCGCAAATTTAAATCAGGTCCCGCTCAGGTTGAGCAGCGGTTGCTCGTGGAGCTTTGTCCCGCGGTGTGCTGGGGGGGTATTTGAGGGAAAAGCTGCCAAAAACGGGCAGCGAGGTGAATCAACGGGCATCGGGAAGTGAGCGACCGCAAGCAGCACGGAGCGGCTCATTAGTGGACACGGGGCATCAGGCTACCGTCTCTTTTTAATGTTATTTTAATGAGCAGCGCATCTGCGTGCTCGCATAGATTAGCAGCAGACGGTAAAAATCGTGCCACTGTTGAATTGTTTGAAATATTTCACCCTTTTATGTGGCTTAATTTGCTCCATTTTTATTTTATTTATTTTTTAATTTAAAAGCAGTTGTTTTAACCCTTTCGAGGACGGGAGTCACTACAGTGTGATCAGGTTACAGGGTGCATGAAAGGGTTAACATGAAGTAATTAGAGTCAAACCTCGGTTTTCGAACGTCTCAACCAATTCGGTTTTCAACCAAAAATTTCGAGTTTTTTATGCCTCGGATGACGAACACATTTCTGTTCTTGAACGAACTGAGCGCACTTGAATACACCATTTGACTCCTCTTGCCTTCCTTACACGAGGAAGTGACGCTTCCTCGTGTTGCTTTCCATTGTGAGCAGACGTGTTCAGTAAACATTTTTATTTTAAAAAGAGCGCGGTTTCGGTTTTCGAACAATTTCGGTTTTCAAACAGCCTTCTGGAACGGATTATGGACGAAAACCGAGGTTTGACTGTATTTGGAGGACGACTTTTTACTTTTACTCGAGTTATATCGTTCAACATTAGCAGGACTCTTTTTTTTTTTTTTGGTACTCTATACACCTTTGCTACAACTACATTAAGCTCACACGGCACTGTGGAAAAAAAATAGAAGAAAGGAGTAAAAAAATAAAAAAATCTTTCTACCCACTTTAAAAAGGTGGGAAATACAATGTCCCACCCCAATGTTTCTTGGAGGCTTGATTAATTCCCTTAATCTTAGGGGAGGTTGTCATCCGGCACCGAGCTGTGGAATCAGTAATTATTCAGAAACGAGCGGTGCACCATTTATAGTGGAAACGTGGGGAGGGGAGAGGGGTGGGGGGTTGCAGAGGCGTGCTTCTCTCCCTAAAATCTACCATTACCAGATAATCAAAGTCTATTTAATTTAATTTTTTTTTACTCTGCAGTGTGTGCCACAGAGTATTTCGAATCCATTACATGAGTCATTCATTCCTCCCAGGGGCGGGCGGTAACCAAAAAAAATGGATTTTTTTTCCCTGTGCGTGGTGCTGGGTCCGCTTGGGAAAAGCAGCATTGTTTTCACGCGAGATGTGAGCGAGAGCAACTTTGCGGTTCCTTCTCCAACACCGTGGCAGCGGTGCCACACCGGATGTGGAAAGAGGACGCATGACAAAACAGCCAACTGAAGTAGAACGAAAGTTCCGTTCATAATTGAGGTATTTGCGTGCGGTCAGCAGGAAGCAATAACTGCATGGCGAAGAGCCGAAGGAAAAAAAAAAAAAAAAGGAAGTGGCCGATTTTGAGAGACCAGCAAAAAAAAAAAAAAAATTGATTTTGGTGTTTTAATGGAAACTATAAATAAATAATATCGTCGTCTGTCCTATCATTACCGCAAGCTAAACCCGACATGCCTCCTGCACTCAGATTTGACGATAAAATTCAGATGAAGACGACTTTGTTTTACTGTTTTGACTCTAAATGCGTGGATGAGGAGACATGCGACGCATACAACGAAATTATCTATCTGCAGGCTATCGCCAAGTCATTCGCTCCATGATTCTAATGCCAACAGGCCAAAACATTATTTTTCCCCCACAATGCGTCTTCCGATGCTTAAATGAATGCTCCATTAAAAGTGTCTTCGCTACAGCGTAATAATGAGGCATTTTACGGCGCAAAACAATGCGCTGACGCAAAAGTGATTAACTATAGGCTGCGGATGCATATAATATGCGGCCACCTGCTGACCGTTTATCTCAGTAGCCTTCACGGCTGATTTTGGCTAATATAGCGTCGATTGTTTGTGTGTGAGCTTTTCTCCTTTTAAAGTTAGAATGAATCTCAAAAAGACTGATCATTAACCCTTTCATGCATCATGTGATCTGGTAACATGATAAGCTGTCCACTGGAGGAACCGCTGTCCCCGAAAGGGTTAAAAACAAACAAAAAAACCCCCAAAACAAAAACATTCGTGTGGCAACTGAGACTTACACACAGGCATTTGTTTGCATGTCGCGTGCGCTTTTTTTATTGCTGCGTTGCGGTGAGATATTTGTGACCAGTTTTCCCTCCCCTGCATGTGGCCTATCCCCTTGTATTGGAGTTTCACACAACCTATTGATTTGTAAGCTTCTCCTTCGCCTTGCGCCAACGCCTCCTTTAGCCTGCGCTCGCAACAAATTTCATATCAAAAGCAATGCGCGGCAATGATGGTAAACGGTCCATATGTTTGTCTAAGGGATGACTTCCTGTTAAATTTGCGAGATCATTGGTTGAGTTTCACACAACCTATTGATTTGTAAGCTTCTCCTTCGCCTTGCGCCAACGCCTCCTTTAGCCTGCGCTCGCAACAAATTTCATATCAAAAGCAATGCGCGGCAATGATGGTAAACGGTCCATATGTTTGTCTAAGGGATGACTTCCTGTTAAATTTGCGAGATCATTGGTTGCCTTCATCCCTCTCTTGTTGTTAGCAGCAAAGATAAAAAAAAACAAAACCAAAAAAACCCAATAAAAATTACAATCCAGTTCTAACCCTAAAAATTAAAGACCTTGTTAACATGTGTAGTAAAACATCGTAGATACCATTCAAACTCAATAAATCAGCTTCGTCGAGCCTGTCCAGACGATTAGGCTTTCATATTGAACACTGGAGTGGAGTTGAATTGCCGGTAGATGTTGATGACAACTCGGAAACAGTAAGGGCAAAGACATAAATACGCGAGGCCTGGGAAAAATGGTGTCCCTCACATTTGGCAGAAGAAGAGAGGTCATAGTGAGAAGCCAAATGAGAAAATAGAAGGCCAGGGGGAAAAGGAGGCTTCGGGCTCTGGGGGTTAAATTAAATGCTTCAACTCTCTGCTATTTTAACAACTAGGGGAATGTGCACCTGAGCAAGGCAGATTGATCTTCGGAGGAACCGTTATTTAGCGGTTTGTGTTCGTGTGACAAAAAGGAGTTGTCGACAGATTAGATCGCTGAAAACCTGCCCACTGGAAATAAATATGAACACAGTCAGTGTATTGTATAGCGTACCATCCCAACCAATATTTATTTTGTTGTCATTAGGATTCCAAAGGCAACCGAACAAAAGATTGAGCTCAATCTGTGTAGGGACACGCGGGGAAAGCCAATGTTGTTTGTTTGAATTTTGAAACAAATTCCCACATAGAAAATAGAAGCTAATGATTTTGCAGGCTCGTTTTAAGCAACATTTTAACATCCATGTGATACATGACTGCGAAAACAAGTTAATCTGCGACTATTTACACTTAAAACCAATAAAAACACTCAACTCAAGTCTTGACTTGAATGTCAAAGGCCTAATGCAAATGTTACTCACTTCCCAGATGTCCCTCAGGTGCGATGCGGTCTTGCACGACATCTTGGCGGTCCAGATGATGGATTCCTTACTGTATGTGTTGGCTAGAATGCCCATAGAAAAAAAAAAGTAAAACATTTGCACATAGTTGATCCTTGTGCATATCCAGTGCAACAGTCGACAGAGTCCGAATTACAGTAAGTGTAGTGCATAAACCAGCTTTTAAAGTTAGATGCAAACTGATGAAATAAACCTTCGACGCCTGCTTTGACAAGTTGCCAACTTTTAAAGTGGATTTGTGGCTTGAATTCCTGTTGAGAAGTATTAAACTTGATGGACTGATTTGCACCTCACAATGCAGAGGTTAAGGGTACTGCGTACAATTTTTTTATGTGCTGTATATTTTTTTCCTCATATATGAACCAAAAAGGAAAGAATTTCTTACCTAACGTCGCGTTTAAATGACAAGACCACTGAAGCCATTCGAACCGAAATTCAAACACGCAAACCAGGGGCGACGTCATCCGGTGGCTCTTTTTAATTGGCTGATGCTAAATGATGGCTGCGATACAATAAGTGGACTACAACTCCCAGCTAACATTTCGCGCTTCTCTCTCCGTGTAACCGTACTACTGAATTAAATACATTTAAAATAAACCCCAAAGGCTCATGTATTAAAATAATTGCCAAACACGCTAACGGGACACATTCGCTATAATTATAGTTAGTTTTGGAAACGTGAAATGTACTTAAAACACTTTTTTTAATATCGTGTTTTCAATTTTAGTTAAGGTGATTTCTTCAGCTTCCGCAAATTAAAATAACCTTGCGGTTCAGAGCCCTATTTTACTGAAAATGTTGGTCGAATTCCATTTTGTAAAATTAGTCCACAAACTATAAAGGTTCCGGTTTTCAGCCTACCAATAACTAATTCGTGGCAATCAGTTCAAGGGCTTGATTGAAACACAGCGTGTTATGATAAATGAATGTGCACATATAGTCGGAAATGCGCTTAGATTGAAGTGGGCGTGGTCCAAACTAGTCACTAGGGAGCAATATAATATTTCATGGATTTTAATTATAGCCTTCATCAATATTTATAGTAGCTGATCTCGGTTCTTCTATCACCTCTGGTGACCTGCTTTCTAACATTTTCTGCCGAGAGCTCACTGCGACATGAAGCTGTCAGCATCCGCTCTGATAAATTAAAACATAAAATAAGCCTTTGTTCTACCCTCCCTTGAGCCCACCCGCATGTCCAGCACAATTACCCTCTCCCTTTTGTTGTTTTGCAGCCTGTATTGATGTCTACAGGACACACTCCAATGTACACTTCTGCTGTTTCCACACTGGTAAGAGCACTAACCTGCGCCTGTAGGGAAAGCCCGAATGTTGTCATGCTCTGTCATCACTGTCCAGACTTGCATGTGTGCTCGTTTCCTGTCATTTTCTTCAATCTGGTTTTGGCCCAGGTCTCTTTCAGATTAATATGACATAATGACCCACCATTCCCAGATATTCATCTG